TGCCGACTTTAATCCTCCCACCAGCGAGTTGAAAATGGCTCTTGTCTGACCCTCGTCTGGGCCTTTGGAAATTGACGTTTTTATCAAGAAGCTAAATATTGAGGTTGCATTGTAAGCTACTTCAGTTCCGCGACCCGCCACAATTTTCGGTGCAATCCCGCAATCTAGCACAATTTGGAATGTTTATCCCGATCCCGCCTGGTTAGAGTTGCAGTTCTCCGCGTAATGTCCGTGACGTGTGATTTTCGTTTTTTCATCCCGTATCCCGCCGTCAATTTGAAAACCCGCATCCTCCCTGTCAAACAGGGCAAATTCTGCTCCCGTAGTAGTATTTTTATCCCGCATCCCGCTATTAAAATTTCTGTCGTTTCGCATCACGCCTCCATTTTTTCTCTCTTTCCGCATCCCGCCAAACGTATGTTGGACCCTCTATGTTATATCGAGGTTCGTTAAATTGAGGTTCTGCCACATGCGTTTACCTGTAACTTTGGCCGCTTCGTTATATAAAGGTTCGTTAAATTGACATTCCACTGTAGCAACAAAACGACCCGTCAAATGCTGCCGTCTCTTCATACTATTTTTTGATATACGTACAACTTGGCGGAAATATAAAACGGAACCAACCTCATCTACTCTAACAGCTGACCCCTGTTCATCAGAGAGTACGACATCCCTCCAGCTTGTGATAAAGACAGCTGTAAGATATTGTAGGACTGGAGAAAGGTCCTGTGTAAAAATAGGGAAATAAGGAAATCAAAGGGTACCTCAGTTTTAGTCTCAAAACAAACATTTCTCTTTGCTGACTGTCACACAATTCTATTGATGTTAGTTGGTTATTTTGCTCACAGATGAACTCAATTTCACTCTAGTTTTCCACAGACAAACTAGCACAATCTACCCATGGGCAAAATAGCCGTTCAGACTTTTTAACTGAAATAATAGCAAATTCTCTTCAGTTGATAAAAGTAACGTAGATAACACCAGTAACCCAGAGCAAATCCCTTGCAAAGGCATGATTTTTCTAGCTGAAAAAAACTTCCTCGTGAACAAAATTCTACATAATAGTATCATTCCCAAAAATACAAGAAATCTAAATTTCATTACAGGTAGATGCTGGATCCTCAGGGAAGTTAAAATGCACCTTAAACACGATTAGAACTATAAAAGATCAATTAGGTAGACTAACTGGATGCTTGGCCACAAGTGATTGAAATGCCTCATCATCCATACTGCCACATTGGAGTATCATGTTACTGGACTCTTTGACACACACTTTGAGGGCTGCAAACACCACATCTACAGCTAGCCTAAAAAGGATTAGCAAAATCAAAGTGTTTAAAATTTTGCAAATCAAAATGAGGTCCAACCAGCCAACAACTAATTTTTTTTTACTCCAGTCGGATTATACATGTATCTTTTTGGGGTCATCTTGGAATTTGTGAAACCCTAAGTCTAAGTCCACACAAAAATGATCACAACGTTAACAACTTGTTTTCTCATAATCTGTGCTGGGTGGAGTCTTTTGGATGGATACACACAGACCACCTCCAAGCCTGCAAGTGTAAATCTCCCTTTGGTAGCTAGTTTTCCACAAAAGATGCTTCTGATTTTGTGCCAATCCAATGATTTTTCCCCAATGTGTAGGTATTCTAGTTTTCCTTATCCTTTTTCTGCATAATCCACAGCTCTAAATTTCTGTTCAGTCTTCAAGAGTGGATTTCAGCTGAAACACCCTACAGCAAATATCTTTGTCTTCGATTATAATAAAGTAATACATCAGAACATTCTATCATTTGTAACACTTACCTTTCTTTTACAGTCACTCCAGGATCGACACTCAATATGTCCTCAGCTAAATTAGTGAGTAACAAATCCAGCAATGGTCCCATGTTGGATGTGGATTCCCCTTCAGACAGTAGAAGCATCAGTAGAGTACTCCTTTCCACTGCATTGGGATAAAACACTTCCAGGCCAGCTTTTAACACGTTGCAGACCTCCAGCTGCACTTCAGCTCCAACAGTACCAATTGCTGTGTTTATCAGTTTCCACAGAAGTAGCCTTGTGTCCTTAACAGCACTGTCATCTAGTTTGGCCCAGCCAGCACTTGCTTGCCTCATAAGAGTTTGCAGTGCAACTAGCATGGCTATTGTTACATCATGCTGGCCTTCGCTTATGGCAGTATTTAGTACATTGCAGATGAGGCTCAGTAATGGGTTATAAGAATCAGTCGAGTCATGCAGTGGAATGTCAGAATCGTTTTCTATCAAAGCCACCCGTATCTTAGCATCCAGTCGTCGGCAGAGGAATGTAATGTGGTGGGCTAAGGATGATGAAGCTTCCGCTGGGTCAAGCAGATCTTGCACAGTTTTAGCTGCAAGAATAGTAAGTACAATAAGAAAAGGAAAAATACATTTGATAACCTGTAACATGTCACCATCCTAAAGCTGCAGACTAATTACATGTATGTATGAATGGACATTTTCCTAAGCCAGCATTTGAAAGGATAGCATACTTGTACCTGTCCAGAAAATGTTCTCAAAAACATATGCTTTTT